TGATCTGTTTCATGTTGCTGCTGATCTGTTTCATGTTGCTGCTGATCTGTTTTATGTTGCTGTGTTCATTCGTGCTCATCTGCTCACACAGACTCATGTTCGTGCTGCTGTTCAGCGTATTGTTTTTGTACTATTAGTGCTTAGTGTATTTTTAGTTAATGTTTTTCTTAGTTCAAATCTTATATCTTATAAATGTTTTTATTTTACATTTTATACTTTTGTTGGATGTAACTGGGACCCAGTGTACACAGTCTCGTTCCACCACATGTACCACGTGTGGTGCGAATGACAAATAAACTCTGACTGTGACATATTTGATTAAAGTGTTTCAAAACCGATATGATCCACATGTTTGCTGCATCGTGTCCTGCTGGTGATGAGAGCACCGAGGCCGTGCAGGGAGATTAGTGTTACAACAAGATAATGCAAATCATGTTTGTAGGCAGCTGCAGAGATATCTGCGTGCATCGTGCACAGATAATAACTCTCAACACACTCGCTGCTTCACAGTCACTGAGTACGCTGTGTGGTCAGCCAAATAATGCCTGGAAGATGAAATGGATCGAGTCAAGCGGTCGGCAGAAATCCGGGGCGGTGATAAACCTCCCATCTACCATTTATTCTTCATTTCTGCTCCGATGGGATTTGATGTGTGTAATAAACAAGATGCTGCAAATAGCACAAGTAGTGACATCGTCGTAATGTGGTGAACAAATAAAACTGTTATTCTCAAATATCTTAAAGAGACGGATACACTTTCTAATTTAAACAGTAAAAGTTTCCTGAACTGTTCATTGTTCTCTTTAATCAGTTCTGACGCACAGCTGTGGTTTGACAAAGCATGCAGGGAAACGTAAAACCTCTTTCATGTGTATATCTACATTAACTAAAAATATGGAACCAGCGTTGAGAGTCTCAGATAATCTATCTGTTATCAGCTTAGTTAATCTCTCAGGGGATTGTAGAGAATGTAGCCCCCACCATGCTCTCTGGTGCATGAAATAGAAGAAGACTCACCTTATTAATATCTCCCTTCTGGATATGATTAACTAATACTACTAATGTAGTGAAGAACCAGAGCCTAACTGGGGCTGATGTCAGTCGTCTTGATTTAAGGGTTAAAGTGAAAATGAAGGATCTGACCAAAACTATTATTTGTTCTTTGCTGTACACTCTCCATCCACTTCAGATGCTTGCATAAAAATAAAAAGCTCAAAAGCTTTCGTCTAGTGCAGCACGATACAGATCGTAGCTGTCTTGTTGCACTATTTCTATTTTTTTTAAAGATAAAAGTCTCCCCCTCTTAGAGCCTAAGAGTTGCAAACAGAAGCAAGAATGTATTTATGACATATTATTCTTTATTGGGTGAGGCTGTCACTGACAGCATAAAAGAAGAAAAAGCATTTTGGTTACATAATCTATCCAGTAGAACTATGTGGGTGTAAATTAGTGCACATGACGGGTCATTCATCGAGCTGGATTAAAATGCTTAATACCTTCTTTCATTTTACTTTTAATCTATTAAATGTAATTGGATCAATTTATCAGTTTGATTAAAGTCAAGGTCTGTGAGGGAGTTGTTAGCTCCTTGTCATGTCTGTGCAGTTTACCCAGAACACCTGTCTGTGCAAAAACCTGCAGAGAGGGACAAGATGGATCAACCTGTTCTCCTTCAGTCTCAGCTCAGGTAAGAACGCTGCCTTAAAGGTAGCATTAGTTCCCAAACATCACCCACAGACTGTAGCCCAGTAAAACCTGTTAAAGACTATACAGTGTAAGGGTTTTAGGAGAAAACTTGAAGGACTGAAGGTGAGGTTCTTCCTCAAGTGGAGGAGTTCAAGTAGCTCAGGGTTTTGTTCAAAGTGAGGGAAGAATGGAGCGTGAGTTGAGATGGATTGGTGCAACATCTGCAGTATTGTGGACTCTGTACTGGTCCGTTGTGGTGAAGAGGGAGCTGAGCTGTAAGAAGAAGCTCTCGGTTTACCAGTTGGTCTACGTTCCTCCCCTCACCTCTGGTCATGAACTCTGGGTAGAGACTGAAAGAATGAGATCGTGGATCCAGGAGGTTGAAATGAGTTTCCTCTGCAGGGTAGATGGACTCTCCCTTAGAGACAAGTTCAGTTATCAGGAGAGACTCAGAGTAGAACTGGTGCTCCTCCACATCAAGAGGAGCCAGTTGAGGTGGTTTGGGCATGTCTGACTGGGAGGAGACCCAGAGGAAGACCCAGGACACACTGGAGATACTACGTCTCTCTGTTGGTCTGGGAACACCTTGGAGTCCTCTAGAAGAGCTGGAAGAAGCTGTGGAGAGAGATGTCTGGACCTCCCTGCTCAAGATGCTGCCCCCGAGACTTGACTTCAGAACAAGAGGAAGATGATGGATGGATGGATGGATGGATGGATGGATGGATGGATGGATGGATAGATGGATGGATGGATGGATGGATGGATGGAT